ATCCCCCCCAAGCATAAGCTCACCGCGGCTCCCACCCAACCCTTAGGCAAACAAGCAGGAAACCTCCAGAAAAAACCCTCCGTATTTTTATCCAAAACATGCGCAAAAAACCCCCCCTAGAATAACTTGTTAGGGGGAACCCTCTATTCCCAAAACTTATATTCGATAACAGGGTAAAAACTCCTGAAAAAATCCTTAGTCTTTTTTCTTCAAACCAGCCCTCTTACTAGCTCCATCTCAAATCCAGCGCACAGCCTAAGTTCTAACTCGCACTGAGCCGCAGCCAGCGCACAATTTTTTCCCTTGTTGCTCTCGCTATATCTGCTCCTTATTAATGATTTCGGGCTCTCCGTTCGAAATTTGCGCTGGAGACCAACTCCGCCTCCGAGACGTGCCTAACTTCGCCCCGCTGCCAATGACATAACAGAAGAGCGGCTCCGATTTTTATGATCTCTCGCTGAGGGAAAAATATCCGTCTGTCCAATCGGGAGAGATCTGTTCTTAGCGCTAGGTCGTCCCGCTTCTGCCGGCCACAGCTCCATCCCCACCGGCGCTTCTTCTCTCCCGCGACCCTCGGGGAAAAATATTCGTCTGTCCGCCAAGATTTGCTCTCCGCGGTCGGTCCTCACGCTCCTGGCTCCCGGAGCACCATCCCCACCAACGCTTCTTCTCCCCCATCAGGCAGACGAAATTCACGGCGCCTGCTTTTGCGAGCTAAACACGGTCAGTCTCTCTATGTTCTCACTTTTTTTCTAATTTTATAAAAACTATCCTTTTGTATTTAACATAACTCACTGTTTGTTTGGTTTTTTTTGGGGGGGGGGGGGTTATCCTCAAATTGTTAGGTCTACTTAAACATCTCAGGAGCAACAGAACAAGCAGCAGGACCAGAAGGATAAGGAGCACAAGGACAAAGCGCAGACGACACCAGCTCGCTTCTATCGCTCTTCGAGCAGTATGTCTCATTGCTGAATTAATTCGCTCATCATATAAAAAGCTGTTTTTTTTTCTTTACTTTTTCAACAACTGTGCTTTTAGATATTCTTGTCACTCAATAAAAATGGATAACCAGGAACATGATATTACAGACCCATTTCTTGCTTCTAGCGTTAGCTAGGTTAAATCAAAATACTGTTCATTCACAGAATACACCTCCACAAAGCGGTGAGCAACCTGATGTGATCAATAATAATAATAATGACCCTTTAGAAATGCTTAATTTAGCTCTAGCCCGATTAGCGCCTAGTGAAAGTGTCTCGCAAAATAGCTCTCAATGTTTGAGTGTTGAGCATGGTGAGATCCAAACAGAGTCAAACGCGGCTTATTCTCAACTGAGTCTGACACAAAACATTTCCTCATCCGATCCGTTTATAGCGCTTAATCAGGCTTTAGCAGCCTTGGCAGAAATCTTTATCTATCTATCTTTATCGCTCATAATGCCAAGAGTTTTGATGCTTACATTATTCTCAGGGCTATGGTTAAGCAAAGCTTAAAACCAAAGTTAATCAGTCAAGGCTCGAAATTGATCAGCTTTACAGACACAGACTTAAACCAGCGCTATATGGACTCGTGCTGTTTCCTTCCGATGCCGTTGTCAGGTATCCCAAAAGGAATGGGGTTTTCAGACAGCATTAAAGGCTTTCCCCCCATTGTTTCAGTTCGAAACAAACATCACTTATCCTCCCCCTCCGCCTATAGTCTCGAGCGTATGACAACACAGGGCAGGAAAGAATTTTACAAATGGTATGATTCAGTCAGCTCCGGCACCTTCAATTTCATGAAAGAGGCCCTTTTATACTGTGAAAACGATGTTGAAATTCTAGCTCGGGGTTGCACATTGTTCAGAAACGGATTTATTGAAGAGACAGGAGTAGATCCTTTCAGCCGCAACACCCTTGCTAGCGCGTGCCTAAAACCTATTTAACAAACTTCATGCCAATGAATTCTTTAGCAATACCGTGCCCTCTATATTACCATAATCAGGTCAAATCATTTTCCTCATCCTCAATTCAATGGCTCGAATATCTCTCTTACACACAAGGTGTTTTTATCAGACATGCACTCAATCAAGGGGAAAAACAGCTCACTAGTTATTATGTGGATGGGTATGGTCAGATTAACGGTAAAACATACCTGTGGGAATTTTTGGGTTGCTACTTCCATGGGTGTGTTACGTGTTTTTCAAATCAGGCCGATGTTAACCCTCTGTTAGGGGCCTCTTTTTCAGACAGTAACATGGCCGCTCAAGACAGGCTGGCTAGATTGAGAGCTGAACATAATGTGTGTCCTGTTATAATCTGGCAGCATGAGTGGACCAAGTTAAAACGTACTGATGAGAGTGTAATCAACTTCCTCAGACGTTATGATCCACCAGAGCCTTTGAATCCTCGCCATGCCCTCTTCGGAGGCCGTACAAGCCCAGCACAGTTGCGTTGCAGTGTAGCGCCTGGTGAGAAAATTAGTTATGTGGATGTCACCTCGTTGTATCCGTTTGTAAATAGCACCTGTCGTTACCCCTTAGGCCATCCTCAAGTAATTTTTCGAAATTTTCAGCACCCTAAAAACTACTTTGGGTTTATCAAAGCGGTTGTATACCCACCCAGAGGACTCTATTTTCCCGTTTTACCCTATAAAACAAAGTCAGGCAAGCTTCTCTTTACTCTCTGTCGCACTTGTGCTGAAATGAACAACCAAGAGGGGAAAGACCTTTTTCGTGAAATCTGTATTGGAAAACTGTGTACGTTTCGAACAAGTTTGTTGACAATGTTGTGTGGGTTTATACATCCTTTCAGCCTCTGTATTCTGAGCTTCAAGAGAAAAATAAAAGCATTAAATTCATTGAAGGTCTCCCTGATTCTTTTGAGGATGAGAGCTTGTTTCCCTCACACCAGAGTCATCTCATTGTACTGGATGATGTTATTTTTCAAGCAGCAAATCATCCAAAAGTGGTCCGGATTTTCACACAGTACAGACACCATAAAAATATGAGTGTGATGATGTTGAGCCAAAATGTGTTTCTACAAGGTAAACACAGCAGGACGATCAGTCTGAACAGTGTTATTTAAAAACCTCACGATAAATTACAAGTTAATACACTAGCTAGACAAATATGTCCAGGACGTCTGCATTTCATCTTGGAGAGTTTTGAAGAAGCCACGAGAGAACCACACGGATATTTATTGATAGGTTTAACCCCCACCTCTCCAGAGCAACTCAGACTGAGATCCGGGATACTACCGTCAGAACAGCTGTGTGGAAATATTCCAATCACACAATGCCAACATAAGAAGTTGAAATGACATAAGAGAAAATCAGACAAATGGCCAACAGATGTGACGTGTCAGGAAGAAAAAGAAGGTAATGACTCAAAAAGGCGGCTACCTCTTACCACTACTCACAACAGTCTTACCCATCGTAGCTGATTTAGCTATAGGCGCCATTCGCAAATAAAAATGCAGAAAATGTATCTGATCTCGCCTGAGCAGATCAAATGCTTACATGAAACGCATGCAAATGCTTCTCGACCAAGCATCAGATACAAAGCCGAGGATGAACTGGACAGTCAAATGAGACGTGTATTGGAGACTCAGGGTCTAAACCCCGATGAGAAAATAAAAAAAGTATAACATGCTTTTACAAAAGTATCTCATACTAGAGAGACAAAAAGTAGATGAAAGCAAGCAAATAACACTAAGGCTCCCCGCTGTGCGTGAAGAGGGACAGAGTGAGAGATCACATGATGAGCGCGACTACCAGCAGGAAGAAAGCGAGGAGGGGGAGCAGGTGGCAAGTGTGAATAAGGTTTTACATGCCGTTTTAACCCACATAAACCCTCGCTCAAAGAGCATAAAAAGTAAAAACTTTTTATGCTTAAAAATAAAGGATGCTATTTGATATAAAAAACTTTTTTTTAATAATCAAATCATTTATTTTTGGGGAAAAATAATGAGCTATGAACTAGCATATTTTGATGAATATCACAAATTTATGAATATCATAATTTTCATGAATATAATAATTTTATGGGTACCATATGTTTTATTACTTCCTTTATTACTTCCTAGGGTCACAAATCATTTATTGGGGCCACAAATCACTCTGTTTGACATAAGGGGTATAATATCCCTCATTGTGTTAATGTCTATGATTCATCTGTTATGTTTACAGTGGCTTTCCTTTGAAGCTTATCTTGTTCACTACTCACCCGTCAGTCTTGTCCCAAAAATCTCCTTTCAGACCAGAGGCTTGGATCATTGTTATCCTTAGTGTTCCTTTCTGAATCTCTTTAGGACAACAGTTGGAATCCAGGTTGGGACCACTGCTGCTACAGTACGACTGTGTGTTTGATCGACTGATGCTGTTGTCTTTTAAGTACTGCTCTATTGCAGCCTTTAGTCCTTTATTCCGTGCTGACGTTTGCACCAGTTCATACAGTGGTCTTAGAGAGTAGCAAACCACATCAGGTTGATCTATGAGGGTTTTTAGCCAATTCTGGTAGCCCAGTGAGTCATTTCTGGTGAGTGAAAACTCCCCAGTCCAGCCTCTGCCTCCTACCACTTCTGAATAATGACCGTGAAGACCAGAGGCGTACATAACAGAGACACCTTGGTTGTTTAGGACTGAGGCGCATAAGTTAAAAGAAGGACCCAGATTAACATTCCCCAGGCCTACCTTGACACCCAATGACAAGCAGTCATGTACCTGTGTGAAAGGAGGTAACACTGGATATTGCTTTTGTTGGTACAAAGTGTATGTACATATGTTCACTGCTTTAACCAGATATATGTGCTACACATACCTGGGATGAAGTAAGATGATTCAGACTGGACAAGCAGGTACGTGTAGACGTGACTCGCCTGAACTGCCCTCCAAGATCAACCTGAAAAAACATTTATTAAACATTTTTAAAAAAGGGTTTAGTCCATGGGGCCCGGCCGGGCACAGCCCGAAGAGGAGACATGGGCCCATCCTCCCGCAG